AATTCCACAGCAAAAAAGGCAGTACAAATCAATGTATGCTTGCATTCCATAGAAATAAATCTCTTAGAACTGGTTGAAATACATGGATGAAAATGCAAAATTTGGAAAAAGTTAGTAGCATTTCAACATATTTCCCCTCATTTTCCAATCAACTATAGAGCTGCTTAAATTTTTTCAAGATTTCAAAAACAAATTTTCTTCACCCTTTGTGACCAACTCTAGAAATTTTTGGCATGATGAAAAAAATGGGCAAAAATCAATATCTGAATTGTACAGGGTGCTAAACTCATGTAAAGAAATTGCCAGCCTAAAAGTTATCTGTTTACTATGCAAATTAACCAGCATCTAGGAGAACAGTAATAAACCATGTGACAAGCCTATCCAGGCCTGCATTTGCATGGGACAGCCTAGGAGAAAGCTCACAGTCAATTGAGGCACTGAGGAGATTATGCAACTTTCTAACACATGTATTCAACAGGGAGTGCACTGCCTGATTAGTCAAAGAAAGGCACAAGTTAAAGCAGCCTGAGGACTGGCCTACCACAGAGTGGCATCAGGATCAAGAGAGTGCAAAGGGTAGGTTTACACCTCCAACCCTCCCACAGCTGCACCAAGCCCTCCTTGGCCATTGCTGACCCAATTCATGAAAGTATCTGAAGCCTGATGACAAAGGATATCCCTCACAACAAAATGATCACTCAGGAGCCAACATCAAGCTTCTTGTAAGAAACGATCAGGGGACTACTTTGTTTTTCAGAGACCAAGGGAAGGAGGAGTTTTTTGAGCCCTCCAGACCTTCTGGTGGCAAGACTGAACATGGCAAGCTTTGAAAAAAGTTTAAATAATGTCCTCTAACCATAGAAAGGCCATTGAACTTTTAAGGATGTGCAGTTGACTGATTTAATGAGTAAGAGATACTGATAGCATTGAACAGTGCTTTGATTCATTACGAAAAACTGTTGCTTGAATAACAGCCAGACTCCAAGGGAGTATATGGATCCCCTTGAGAGCATATATCCAAGGACTAAACCCTTATAATTGATTAATTCACATATCCCCATTCGTAACACGTGGTGTTTGTTTCATCTCAGAGGGAGTGGGAGGAAAGGGATTGGCATCTGCTCAGCAGGCAGGCTACCGTGAGCACATCAAACTTGTCCTCCACTAGCTACACTGGTTTCCCAAAGATTTTTAATCAAGTTCAAGGTCTTGGTCCTTATCTTCAAAGCACTCCATGGCATCTAAAAGATCTCCTAAAGCTCCAGAATGAAGACAGTGGTTGAAAATTTCATTCCTTGGGCACAGTGGAACTCTCTACAACAAGGTTAAAGCTCATCTGTACAGGAAACAGACCTTTCTCAGAGGCTGGTCCAAGCATGTGAAATTATTTCCTCCAGGAACAATGGACCATCATAAACCTCACTGCCTTATGCTTTGAGTGCAAGGTGCATACCTTTGACCTTGGCTTCTCTAACAAATATATATCATAGCAGTACATACATTGAAAAACATGAAACAAAAACAACTCCACTGCCCAGAAGAAACAACATGTGACAGACGTTAGTCATATTGCTTAATGCATTACTGAAAGACATTCAGGTATTACGGTGATGAGACTCTTGCTATTTTGGATCATCTCAAAAAGGTAGCGAAGCAGAAGTGTATGGCTCCTTTAAGTGTATGTTCCTACTTAAAACCTTTATTTTTGCTACCATAACATAAATGAGCTGAAATACCATTTATCCTGTTTATTTAGGCCATTCAGCGTCTAGCTCTACAGCTGAAATGTGTTGTCGTTTTATATATATCCAGATTGCCTTTTTAAAGCAGGGAAGAGCCATGTTGCTGATCAGTGGACCACAGAGCTTGCATAATGCAGGTTATTGTGGTAAAGAGGAAGTTACATTTTTACTCAGAAAATCAAACAGGAAGTGGGAAGAACAGAATGAGCAGGGAAGTATAAATTTTGTAAAGACATTTTTCTGTCTACCAAGTGCAACGTTTGTGCAAAACTGAATGAGCTTCCTTATTCGTTCTTCAGTGGACATGACATATACAGACTTCAAAGTACAAAGGTTTGTATTATGTGAGAAATAAGGGTCAGCTAGAGCTGCACAGAGCCCCAACAGCATTGAAACTTCTATATGAGCAAGAAATTATAGCTTCATTTGTTCATATTCCCCATCTTTCCACTCCTATGTGTTAGCATTGTCATCACCTACACATCTGGACCTGACTCTGAGTGAAGTGAAAGGCATGTCACAGCCTGACTTTTCAACTGCACATGACACCTACACTGTGTGGCACACCTCAGTCACAACAATATTATTATAGGCCTTTTGCTGTATTTGAGAGATATTGCGTGACCTGTGTGGCAGACGACAGTCACCTTTGCTTTTTATTTACTATTTACAAAATAAAAACCACACCATAAAAAGAGAAGCTGATTCTGTGCTCTAGGCCCACAAAACCAGAGAGAACTCACTATCCCACATGTTATACCTTGGAAAAGTTACAAAAGGAGCAGGTTTCCCTTTAAGCTTCTTTCGCTGCCTTGCCAGAGTCAAGCACAAACATGGCCTGCTGCAGTGCCTCAGGGAGAAAGGGAAGCCCAGAATAAGGTGACTCAGCCCCAGAAAGCCACTCAAAAAAATTCAGCACAAGCTCCAGCCAAATTAAAGTCCTGCTGTACCAGAAGTATATCATCTAGTCTTTGTTTTGGATTCAACAATCCCTTTCTTAAAGCACTCCATCATGGAGGCCTGTCCACCCTGCCAGAAGCTATGGTGACAAAAACTAAAATGGCAGGCTCTTCAGCAGGTGGGTTGTCTCTAAGTCCTCAGAAAAGGTCAGAGTTGTGCCTCCATGCTGTCTGAAGATCCAGGATAAAACCTGTGGACACTACTGTGCTGGAGAAAGCATTCAGAAATAAGCTTGACATACTTTATATATCTTACAGGATTTTATGAAAATAGTAAGGGTAGGAATAAAACTGAGTTCTGTGTGCAGAAGGTTTTCACCCGCAACCAAGTATAGTCTGCTCACCGCCATCTCTCTCCTCCTTTATGAAGAACTAAAATGGGAGGGTGGGGGATGGATTTCTTAGGACTACCGCACAGGACAAGGAAGCAGGACACCTGGATTCTAGTCCCTAGTATGTCACAGGCTTACTGATTCACTTGCTTGGGTAAATAATGGTTACCTAACTCACTGTAGCTTTATACTAGGGTTACCATACGTCCGGATTTTCCCGGACATGTCCGGCTTTTGGGGGCTCAAATCCCCGTCCGGGGGGAAATCCCCAAAAGCCGGGCATGTCCGGGAAAATCGGGAGGGAGGACTCGGCCGGGGTCGGCGGTGCGGGGCCGGGCCGGGGTCGCGGGCATGGTGCCGGGCCAGGAGCCGGGCCGGGTGCGCAGTGCCGGGCCGGGGGCCAGGCCGGGCCAGGAGCCGGGGTCGCAGTGCCGGGCCGGGCTGGGCGCGGGGCCGGGCGGGGAGCCGGGGGCGTGGTGCCG